GTGGAGTTTGTACCCTTATGCTGGCAAGACTGATAGTGACTAAAAAATTCTTTGTCACGAGCCACCTTTTTTAGTGAGATGGCTGGGGTTTGATGATGGAAGGATGTTTCTTTTGTTATTTAAAACTGATAAATACTTGCCTTTTGGGGTCCGTTTTTTATGAGAAACATGTTTCTATAAGAGGTCTGATTTTTATATAAATAACGTAATGAAATGACTAGCCTTTTGTAGTTATGTTTAAGCATAGTCCAATCTTCAGGTGTGCAGAAGTGAGAAATTTTGTATGGGCTAGTGCAAGTTATGCTACAGTTGTCCAGCCCAACCTTGCCACTTGCCTAACAAAGGTGGATTGATGAAGTCTTCAGTTTCTGCATCTGGACAGTCTTGTGAGTAGAGTAACTTCATTGTTGTATTGAATGTTTGTTTTCATGGCCGTGTTACCTGAAAGGTCTGAAAATGGCACAACTATTGTTGTACCTCATTGTCTTGTCTTATTGTAATGCTTTTATGCTTAAAATGAAACAGCGTTTAAACCATTTCCCTCTTTTGGGAAATTTTGTGCTGAACATGTGGAACTTGTTTTTATTATTTTTTTTATTAACACATAAAGCCGATTCCCATCAAAGCAGGGTGGCCTGAAAAAGAAAAATTTACACCACCATTCACTCCATCACACTTGCCAAGAGGGGTTCTTTACACTAGTTATGAAACTGGAACATAAACCCCCTCTTTCAGAGTGCGGGACACTGTACTTCCATCTCCAGGACTCTAGTCTGACCTGCTGGTTCCCTGAATTCATAAATTTTTCTTTTACTCCCCACTCCAACAGCATGAGTTTTAAAAATGTCTCCATTATTCTTTTAAAAAACGTCACGCAGTTGCTCAAGTTCAAGCCCCTTGCCACAAAACCCCCTTTAAACCCCCCCTCCAACCCTTCCTAGGCTGACCCTCCCCTCCCCTTCCCTCCCTACGATTTATACTCGGTCATTGTTTTGTTCCCGTTCTCTCACATGCCCGGGAAAACCACCTCAAAAAACCCCCTTCCTCAGCCCTTGGACAAGTTTTGGTACCCCGCACCCCCTCCTAATTCCAAAACAATGAATTCTCTGATTATATTCACAACCAATTTTGCCCTCAGACAGACATCTCCACGGCCCCGGGCCCCATTGTTGTGATTCACCCCATCTTAAAACCCCATGTAATTTTGGTAAAAAAATAAATAATTTGCATTTTAAAAAAGTCTGTATAAAGATCTTTGAACTAATGTATTATTGAATGATTAAGTTTATTCCTAGTTTCATGTGAAACATTTGATTGTGATGAAAACCCACCTATCTGTTTAAGAGGGGGTGACACGGTAATCAACATACAGGGCTCTCATTTTTCAGCTTCAGTTTTACATTACAAGATATTGTATTTAGTTTTTTTGAAACTGATAAACCTTCCATTCCTCAACAGTAGGCATTAATGTTCTCTGTGAAAAACCTAATTCTTTTCCCAGTAGAAGTGTTAAATTATGGTAGAAGTACACCCACCATACGTGTAAATTTGACAAAATCCATGGGCATTGTTTTTTTAAACCGACGGTTGAAAATCTTGGTACTACTGTTAGGGGGAAAATTAGCAGTTTGTTGAGGGGTTTTGCTAAGGTTTGCCTTTTTTGTTAACTTTCATGGGGGGAAAACTTTTTCTTACAATGATCAAATGAAATAACCCAGCTCTCTAAAGTAAAAAAGAAAAACAAAAGATTTGACTTTTCCTGCATTTTTAAATTTAAATTAAATTTTTCATTTGTGGGGGGAATGGGATAATTGCTGTGGCGTGTGAGGTATTTTAATGTAAATGAAGTTTGGGCCACGTGAAAGAACTTTAATTTGGTTAGTTTACATTTTTTTGGGGCAATTCCCTTTTTGTTAACAAGTTAACTTTCAACCATGGATCCCAACCCCCTTATCCTTTTGTGTGGATGCACAAGCCCTTTTTGAAAACCTACAATTTTTTCACCCCACCCCCCTCCTTCTTCCAACCCTTTCCCTTGGACTATAAATTTTATTTTTATTGCACTGGCCACTCCCAGAGGTATTGTGACCGTGAAAAAAAAAAAAATCCCATTTACTGTCACGTCTTGCCAGGGCATGTGTTGGTCTGTAGTTTGATGTTCCCTCCAACTGCAGATTTCCACCCCCTTGAAAGGGAGGCATAAATACCCCAAAAAGACTGGGTAAATAAAATTTTGAATCCCCTTTCAAAAAGTTACCTTGCTCAATTCCGCTTTTCAAATTCCAAAAGCTCTTTTTCCCCACCCCTATCTAAATGCTCCCCGCCCGCTTGATCTCCGGTCCCCACACATAAAAACCTTCCTGCCTTTTCCCAGGGGGACCTAACCCTTTTTTTACTTTTTTTCAGGTTTATTCACCCACCAAAATTTTTTTTTTTGTTAAACCAAAATATCCAAATCACTTTTAAAAACCCCGTCAGCCTTCGGGTAAACTTTTAATAACCCCCCACCCTTTCTCAAAACTACAGATTCTCTGCTTAATGTTTATGCTGCATGTGGTCCTGAGGTACATGATCTCTTCCAGCCTCCTCTCTGCAACAGTCATAACCCATGCTTCATGCTGATATTTGTTTTGGTGCCATGGGTAACCTTCTTTGTCTTCACAGGTGCCACAGTGCACAACCCCCCTTTTTCTGGGTTTTACCCCTACCCTTTCAATGACCATTTATTTATAAATATAGGGGAAACATTAAAAGATATTTTGGCTTTTTGTTGTTGATAGTAAATTGGGAAATAATCAATGCTTAAATTTCTTTTTGATCAACGATGGAATTTGATCTTTCTGGCTACATTCTGACTGTAATTTAATAATTCTATTTCTGAAACTTGTCCACAGTGTCCAAGAATTAAAAAAAAAATGTATGAAATGTTAGAGAATTTTTTTCTGACAGTAATAAAACAAAGTACAAAATTTGATAGAAAATAAACATAAATTACACTTAAATTCTGCTGTCCTGTGATATTTATGCATCAGTGATTTTGCCCGTATTTGACCAATTAGGCCAATTACATTTGTTCCAGGTGACCAGATTCTTTGCTGTTTTGCCAGTGTGCCTTCTGTTATCAATTGAACACAAGAAATTTCCCAATCAACTATTTCAACTACCCAATAAAGTGATCAAAAATCGGTAATTTGGCCAATTTGAAGCAAATTTCAAAATATTCCAATTCCAGAAGAAACAATGAAGGCATTCCTGACACTAAAATAGCATTTCCTCTGTTCATTAATTATGTTTCCAGGCTTGACATTTGAATTTCATTTTTTTTTACAGCAAAAAAAAAAAAATTAAAGTTTTACTGTTATGCATTATTGTAATTGTATAAATATTAGTGCATTCATGAAAACACATTAGACCCACTAGTTGACGTGTATTGCACATGTCGTGTGATTCGGTTACTGTTGAATATTGGCAAAAATCGAACATTGCCACTACTTTGAGCTCAATTTGTCATTTTCAGTCCTGAAACCAACAAAATCTTTCTAATACATCTTCCATTCTATCAAACAAGACCAAAACACCATGAATACAACCATAAAAACCATTCAAAAATACACCACGAAGTCGCTGTTTTAAACCAGTCTTTTTTTTTTCTCCCCTTGTGCACTGGGTATTTGTAAGATTGCTTGTGGTGCATACTTATCACAGACCCATTTTCTCATATCGGGCCCAAATTTACCACTCACAGCTTGAGCTTATTGTGGTCTACCTTGTCCTTCAGTTTCTGCTGCCTCAAGTCCTAGTCATGTAATGACTAAAAGAATGTTCTTAAAAAAAAAAAAAAATCAGTATATGGAATGTAATGTAACGGTTTAATTGTAGGTCATGTAGTCCAGGAGGGCCCAGAATTTCCTTGGTTGTCTGACAGTTCAGGAGAAAGGAAGCTGTACTAGTGGTGAAAAAATATTTTGCACCTGAAGGTGACTGTTTTTTTTTTTTTCCTTTTTCTCTCTCCTCTTTCCACTGATTTGATTAATACTATCCATCTCCTTGGTCTGTGTTTATGAACAGCATGATTCTGTAAACTGGTCTGATGATATTGTGTACAGTGAAGTAAATTTCTCTTCAGTGGTTGTTATACTGAACTATTGTAATGTTCAGGTATACGTAAGCAAGAGGTTCCATGTCGGCGAAGGCTCGAGTCTTTGCAACAGACATTGCATCCAGTGGACTCTTTAGGCTACAGCCTTGTGTAATGTTCCTTGTGTGGATACTAGAGAAGCTCAGCCTTTTGAAAATTGCTCCGTGGTCAAGATGACAGGTTTTTGCAACTCGACAGTCTGGTAAGAATGTGAGTATTTTTGGAATCTAAAGGAATCTTCTTGGGTTTGATTTGTCTGCCTAATTCCCAATAGTTTTGATACAAGGAATTTGACCTCCCCTGCCTTGGATCTCGCTTGGCTTCCTCTTGCCCATTTACCAAAGCCTCTTAAGGTGTGGGATAGGGTTGTGGGTGAATAGTTTCTTGGGAAGATTGCCAAAGGTTGATTTTTTTCCAACTCGCCAGCCATCTCCCACCAAGGCAGGATGACCAAAAAAAAAAAAGAAACGCTTACAGTCATTCACACATAATCACCGTCTTTGTGGAAGGTCCCTGATATAACAGTTTAGATGTCATTCTAAACAGCCAATATCCAAAACTCCTTTCAAGTGCAGGCATTGTACCTCCCATCTCCAGGACTCCAGTCCAGCTGTCTGGTCCCCTGCCCCCCCCCCCCTCCCCCCCCCTTTCCATTCCTAAGGTGACCCCTGTCCCCCTACCCTCCACTACAGATTTATACCTTCAAGTCATTCTATTTTGCTCCATCTTCTCTAAATGACCAATCCACCCAATAACCCCTCTTCAGCCCTCTGAATAATTTTAACACTTCCTAATTTCCACACTATGAATTCTCTGTATAATATTTACACCACACATTACCCTTAGAGACATGTCCACTGCTTCCAGCTTCCTCCTTGCTGCAGCACTCGCAGCCTATGCTTCACACCCATATAAGAGTGTTGGTACCACTATACTCGCTCTTCCTTTTTCCCTCCAGGAAAACTTTTTTTTTTTTCCGGACCTCAATGCACCACTCCTTCATTTCTGTGGTTAACCTTGGCCTTCATAAACCCATCTCCTGACAAATCTACTCTGAAATATCTGAACACATTTGCTTCCATACTCACTCCAATGTGGTGTCTCTTTCTTTCCCCTTTCCATTTGATGCCCTCATCACCTTCCTCTTGTTTTGTTCCCCTCTCAGTTTTTCCCTTTTTTTCCCCCTTTTTCCTACCTCTGCAACCTTTTTTAAAAATTCCCCCAAAAAGCACGTATCACAAAAAGTAAACTGTGACGACTCCCTTTTGTATTTAATTCCCCCTAATTTATTTCACCCCCTCCCAAAACACCCGCTTTACTTATTTTTATTTTACAACCAAACTATAATGTTAAAAACCCTATACATTACCCCCCTATCTTTAGGCCTATGTTCCTGGAAAATGATCTTCTCTCTCCCTCACCTTAACCTGAGCCTCATCCTCATAACTTACAGCATTTATAAGCAACTATTCCTGCATTTGCAAATCTGCCACATTGCTCTCCTATCCCCCTGTCTTTTCTTTCCAAATTTAATGCAATGAAAAAATCCCTCCTTTCACATCCCCTTTCCCATTCTAAAAAACCCTTCTTGCTATCTGCAATCCTGCTTTTTTCCCCCAATTCTTTCAGTAATAATTTCCCACCAACACATGGTATACTCATTAAAAATTCTTTCCCCCAAATTTTTTCAAATTTCATATAAAGGGAAATTTTCATTTCTCTTCCCCAAACCCCAATTTCCTTCCCCCCTTTTAAACTTTCTTGAGCAAAAGTTTCAACCACTCCAACAATTCCTCCTGCTTTTTAAAATTCTCAGATCCCATCAGTTCAGCTGCTTTTTCCTTTACCTCCCCCACACACATTGGCTCTTCCCCTTCCTACCAATGCTGAATTTTTGCCTTTAAAAATAATCCTGCCCGGTTTTCCAATACCTCCCCCCCCTTACTAAGCCCCCTTTCGTTTTAATTGCGATTCATTTGTTCCCTAGTCTTGACCTATTTATCTGACTCCAAAATTTGTTCTTTTTCTCAATAAAATTTGTTGAGTGCCTCAGCCACTTTCATTTGCTCTCCTTTTGCACTCCTTCACCACTCTAAATCTCCTTTACTCTCTACTCCACCCCTCTTGCATCACTTCACTGTAAGAAATCTCTTATGCGACCTTTTTCTGTTTTATCACACACTTTACCTAATTATTCCACCAATTGTTCCTCTCCTACCCCCATCCAGTTTTATAACTGTAGTGAGCACACCTCTGGGAAGACAGTGAATGATTAAAGTTTGTTTTTTTGGGCAACCCTGGCTTGGGGAAACAGCCAGTGTGTTAAATAAAAGTAATAAATTGTTTGTGTAGGTTGTAACTAAAAAAGTGTGCTACTAAGTTACTTATGGAGTAACCAACTTTGAAAAATTTAGTAGTTCCTCAGATCTCAAAGAAATCTATCATTTCTTTGATAGTTCCTTCTTAATTTTGTTGATGAAGATGCTCTCTAATTAGGTTAAGGCTATGGGAAGGAAGAGGGTTGTGAGATTAAATTCCTCTAGCCTTTCGTCATAGCTTTCTCCTTACCTCTGCAACTAGTTTTGTTGCATCTGCTGTGTGCAGTGCCTTACCATGTTTCCTCAGGTATGGGTTCCATATTGGTGCTGCATATTCAAAAATGCGCCTTCCATGCATTGTATAAAACACCCACAATACCTTCAAAATTCTTGAAAGCCACTCGTTACATGTGTCAGGCAAACATAATCTGCAGAGGTTATTGCATTGCAAGGCTCTGGTGATATGGTAGGCACTATGCTTGATTCCAGATCCTCTGTAAATGAAGTCTACAGGAATCATCCCCTGAAATCCTCATCCTTCAGTCTGCTCTATGGGATTTTGCTAGGTATTTTTTCAGTTATTGGGAATTGGGTTCCTTGTTATATTTTATTATCCAAAAATAATTTTTTTTTTAATGAATTAAATGGAGGGAAAGTGTAATATTAATGGATGTAATGCCAATACCTGTTTGGTATCACTGACACATTTCAGGGTCCGTCCCGTAGATCTACGGCTTCACGTTGAGTGTCCAAACCGTAGATCTACGCCAAAATTCTAGCGCCGTCAAATTTAGCGCAAAAGCGCTCATAGGCCTACATGTGAGAGAACGGGTCTGCGTGGTGGGTGTGCGCCATAAACAAAAAATCTAGGCGCCCGCATAGCATTGTGGGAACGCCGGCTCAGTTACCCTTGTTCACCATGCCTCGTCGCAAGTCAGCTCTCACTCCCCGGAAAAATTTGGGGACTCCCCCTTCCTATCTGATAGTTCTGACACTGATGGAAGTGGAAATGAAGACGAATTCTACGGCTTTGATCAGTTGTGACCGAAAAGAATGACCAGGATATCGATAATAGTGCAGAAAACCCTGCGATCCTCAACTTCTACCTCTGGTGTGGGCACTCGTGACTCACGGTCGGTTGTTCCTCAACGCAAGAGAAAGCTAATATTTTCGCGTGGTCAGGCCTCTGACTTCAGTAATGATGATGATAGTGACGTGGATTGTGTTTTATTGCGCTCGAGATCTTCGAGTAGTGATAGTGAGGAATCATATTCACCAGTGAAGCGTTGGTATGTTCGCCGCCGCATGCGCTCGGGTAGTGTCCCCTATTGCTGTGCCCAGGGGACGGATTTACATCCGTGGCCCTACACCAGTTTTAGGTAGTGATGTGAGGATGAATGTGGCTACACTTGGCATGGATAGACCACAGGCATCAGTGGATGGGGGGTTTAGTGGTGATGGTAGTGAAAACCGCCATGCGTGACTCACCGGGCCACGCTGGGACCCACGCTGCTGACTGTCAGTTCAAGGACAAAGCGGAGCGTCAGCCACCAGCCCACCACAACCACAACCACCCCGCACAAACCAGCCTATGAGTCAGTATCACCAGCAAACCATATGTGGGATTGGCAGCAAAACCCCAATTTTGTTCCAAGCCCCACCACTTTGAGGGACTCTCAAAGTGGAATCTACCTACTTGTCCCCTTAGAACCACGGCCAATGAACTGGAATTATTTGAATTATTCTTTGACCAGCCATGGATGGAAACTATTGTCAGGGAAAGTAATAAGTATTTTGAGTACACCATGGCAAATCGATCATATCACCACAGTCAAGACTAAAACAGGTGGAAAGAGACGACTGTTGTAGAAATGTATTTGTTTTTTCCCAAACAATAATGCTTATGCCTCATGTCTAAAAAGCATAATATAAAGCATACTGGTCCAGATCAGCTAATTTCTACCCCGGTTTCAGTGAAATCATACCAGTGAACAGGTTTATCTTACTCTTACGTATGTTGCACTTCTCTGACAAAACCAGGCCTGACAGAAGTGACAGGTTATACAAGATTAGAAATGTTTTCATGTATCTCAAACAAAAGTTCAGCATATACTTTTATCCATTCAAGAAAAGTTGTAATTGACTAGTCTTTGATTTTGTTCAAAGGAAGACTGTCATTCAAGCAGTATATACCGAGCAAGAGGAAACGCTTTGGTATAAAACTGTTTGTATCTGTGACTGTGACAGTGGCCTGGTGTTGGATATTGTTGTATACACGGGAAGTAAACATTGAAAGATACCAAGATGTTATTGGGTATCTCAGGTGACGTAGGGGAGAAACATGATGGCACCTTATCTTGGTAAGGGGCATACATTATATACCGATAACTGGTACACAAGCCCATTACTCAGCGATTTCATGCGAGTGAACAAGACAGATGTGTGTGGCACAGTGCGTTCTAATCGTAAAACATATGCCCAGGCTCAACGCAGGTGCTCGTGGTGATGACATGCAGGTGTTTACTACCAATGACATCATGGCATTACGTTGGCATGACAAAAAAGAGGTGTCACATTTTTTGACAACCATTCACCGTAATGAAATGCAAGACAGTGGCAAAGTTGATCGAGTGACTAATGAACGTTATTCGAAAACCAGTGACAGTGATTGATTATACACAAAAACATGCGCTTGGTTGACAAATGTGACATGCAGATTGGTTTTGTTGACTGTGTTCGTTTAAAAGTTACAAGTGGTACATGAAACTTTTCTTCCATTCATGGAGATTTCTATGCTCAATGCATATAATATGTACCAAATAAAGACTGGCAACAGACCACCGTTATGGTGAATTTTGTCTGTCTGTTGTCAGACAACTCATAATGAAGTACCAGGTAAGAACACCTGGGTATACAACAAGGTCTCGAATTACTCAGGATATACCCAAGCGTTTGAGGAGGGAAGGTGATCATTTCATAATACAGCTTCCTTCAACTCGGAAGAAATTTGCTTTAGAAGAGATGCATGTCTGTGCACAAACAAAACGATGGCAACAAAGACGCAAAGACACTGTTTATGGTGAGGGAAAGTAAGGTGCCTCTGTGCATGGTGCCTTGTTTCAAGGAGTTCCACAAGCTCCAGCAGTTCTAAAACCATATCCAGTGATTGTAAATATATGATAGAACATTAGTATTATACAAGATTTGTACATGTTTATTGTAATAAACAACAGTGGTAAACAATAATATGATGATAACTTTAGTGCGGTTATTGTGTTCAATACAGTGAGTTTATATATATATACATTATATACAGTATTGGTCTCTCAGGCCCCAAATGTTAGTAGGAATAGAAAAAAATTGGAAAAGAAAAGAAAAAAACTTAAACAGCTAAATAATGTAATGCACGTATGTGGAATTCGTCGATGTTGCCGCCACTACATCATTGACAAACTTCTTTGCACTGTATCTCGGTAAATACTGATCAGATTTTTTTTTCTTATTACCTTCACAAAAATATGCTCTTTAATTCTGTAAGAATTTTTTTTTTTTTCTTGGAAACTGGAGCTCCACTTCAGATTTTGGCCTTGGACCCTGAAGGGGTTAAGAGATGCACTGCTATTAAGGGAGCGCTAGGGCAATTTTCCGCGCGCGCTCAACCAAAAATCAAAAAATTATGGAAATTGATTTATACCGAAAAATAGCTTAACTCTTTGGCAACACAATGGTACAAGAATCAATGTTCTAAGACGTTTCTACAAGAAATTAGTCATTTATATCGGGTATGGTAACGGCGATGTAGGTAGCGCGTCTGTTCTCAACCCATGTATTTTTTGGAATTTTTTCCTTGTTTTTTATTGCTTTTTCTTTGCATTATTCTTTCTAATATAATAATTATTTGGCATCATATAAGAGTAGGTGGAGCTTATCAGTAGTGCCAGCCAATTGGGAGCCATCTGAGAACACTCGGCAGTACTCCCCCTCCAGATGGTGCCAGGTGAAATCACTTCATTATTACGTTTATATCAGCTTATACATCAACTATACGGCTTATTTGTCTATCAGAATTGATCTAATATAATATAATATAATAAACACTATAAATAACAAACAAACATGTTATATACTCTAGACTGAATAAAATAGGCCATAATATAGCGAGAGTCCACCAGCAATATTTCGATATAAATGTGTTACTCCTTGTCTCCTTGTTCTATTGTTTGGTATGCGAGTGATAGAAAACGGTATTTTGAAGAGGATAACTGCACTAGAACATCAGTTTACTAAGAAATACACCGAAAAAAACGCGATTTCCGCGCAAAAAAAAATTTTTTGAGACGGTAGGCCTGCCGGCGTTCTAGGCTTATATCTCGGAAGTAACTTTTTCACATATTTCGCTAATGTACACCATTATTAATTATTGTATTGAAATGATTTTCACTGACAATATAAAAGTGTGTTTGACTATTTGCGGCTTCTTTTTTTTGGAATATATCAAATATTTTTGATTTTGTGGGAGGTAAAAGGCAGATATTTTGGTGAATGCCAAAAAGTCTATCAAATGTATTTTTTTTTTCCATGATAATAAGATATATTAGATGAAACATGTGCATCCAAAATTTGTGTCAGATGTATTCTAACGGTTGGGATTGTCGGAAGTGCCACTCGTAGTGCCATTTTGTCATACCTTGCTGCCATATATGAAAAGTCATTAAATATTTTTTTCTGTTTGTTGGCCAATCATACTGAAACTTTTTCACATTCTTCTACATATGAACCTCTAAATGTACACCAAAAATAAAAAAAAATTGGTTGAAAAATAAAAGAGTTGGCCGAAATTGGAACTTTCCCCGTTAAGGTCTGTGTAATTATTTCTGGCTTGTCAATAAACAATTGTATATTAATGTGATGAAACATTTTTAACAGCATTGGGTTATGAAATCCATTGATTATTTGTTACTTCTGATAATAAATGTAGCCCGATAAATACTTTAATAGTGGTGTTTATCTCAATATAATTTTTCTTTTTTCAGATTCAGCCAGTCTGCAATAGTTAAGCTTTGCTAGCAGACCACACTAGGTAATTATGTACATTGTAAATTTGTGTATAAGAAGCTCTGATGCTCCTAGAGCATGTGTGTGATATAATTTCAGGACTTTCATCCTCTGAAGATAATATAAAAGTGCCAATTCTGAATTTGTATATTTGACAGGGCAAGGAATGTAATTTCAGTAGTTTAATCCTCTGATAATATAAAAATGCTAATTCTCAATGTTTGTTTAACAGGGCAAGGAATGGTGTCCCGATGTGACTTCTTGTGAAACTACCGAGACTAGCTTTTTGCCAGTTGGACGAGTGATAATGGACTAAAGTAGACTCGGTGTTGAACAAAGAATGGGACTAAAATTAGTGTTAAGCTGATTGATCTGCCTCCTCTCCCTTTACTAAATCTTAGCACCAATTATTGCTTTCTTGTCTGTATATTATGCTCAACCTTGACATCTGACTTAAATATGCCTGGTATACAGGTGATATGTCTGTTTCCTAAAGCTACACTTGTCTACATAAATCATCCTGCATTTGTCATTGGTGCTACTATTAAAGTTCACTACTTGCTACAGGTGATGGTTTGATTGTCACTTGATCAGTAAACCTTTCGACTTACCATAATAAAAGTTGGAAGTAACTTAGCTTTCAGCTGGTGTACCAGAGTAGCTGCTGGCAGCGATGGTCAGCTTGTCCGAGTAATTACCCATCAAAATTTGTGTTCAGACAACATAAATCTGCTGTCATATTGCAACCTCTCCAGTCTATGTATTGGCCATGTTCTTCATTCATATATTTTGGAAAAATGCTCAGCACTGCTATGGAAGTATTTAGTTTATTTCTTTTAGCAGGTTCTAATCTTTGGAGCTCCTTTTGGTGCATTCAGACTTAACAGCAACTAACCTTTTGAATGTACTTCATTGATTTTACTAGTGTATTCCTAACCCCTCTACCTTGCATGCTGTTTTTCCCATAATCCTACCCATTGCACACCCTTTCATCTTCAAGGGGGGCTCCTTGGCGTGGTGAAGAGGCTCTTGGTCTGAGGAATTAGCCCTGTCGGTCTTCTTCCTCAGACCGAACCTAATTACCCCCCATTCTCCCCTCCCCTCTCCCATCCTCCCCTTTTTCCATTTTCCTCACTCCCACCCCTCCTTTTGCCCTTCCTCTTTTGGCCTTTGGGATTTCTTTCCACAGGTGCATAGTTCCTAGGTAGGGGAAAATAAAAAAGGACACCGGGGTCAATCCATTCCGTTGAGGTTCTTGGCTCGTGGTGGTGGCCGTAGTTTGCCGATGGAATCTGGATTGCCTGGGGATGTCCCGATCCCCCTTGGTATCCTGGAGTTGCTTTGAGTGTCTTTCGGGCGCGGTGGTGTATTATGTCTGGAACCACCTTTCGGATTCCGGGGGTGGGTGGCCGAAAGGAGGTATGCTTTGTGGCGGAAGATCCGGCAGCCTCTCTTTTGTCCACCGAAGGTAGCTCGGCAGAATGTGAGGTTGCTTATCACCGATTGCTGTTTACTGGCACTGAAAGGTAGGGTATGGCACGGGTTCCATTGCAGCATCTGCGCTACTAGCGGTGAGGAGGTCTCTTGGGCGCGGAGGGAGATTTCCGGCCCTTTCATTCCTCCTGGGAAAAACTATTCCTCTCCGCTCCCCCCTTTTTTTTTATTCTTTTTTTTTTTTTATTTTTCTTTTCTTTTTTTTTTTCTTAAAACAAAAAGCAAAGGACTAACCTAATAAACATGGAGAACCAATCCATGAACTCACTACCCCGGCGCCCCTTTCTTCATACATGCACCCCAGTCTGACCCTGCCTTGTGTTTTAGACCACTCTTCGGACACTCCTAATGCCCCTGTACCTCTTGTGGTGTGTTTTCTCACCTGCTTCAGGTACGGGGCTATCGGATGACTCCTTCGATTTGTCGAAAACCTCGCTTTCCTTGGACTTATGCTTCCGGCTTCTCCCTCTACGGTACGGCAATTTTCGAATCGCCCCCCATTTCTCGCGACCAACTCCGGTCCTACTCTAAACGCCAACATCAATCTCCTGAGATGCTCCTTAGTTCCTTCCCATTCTACTTGGAAAAAGAACCTGGACAGTCAAGCCTCCTCTCCACGCTCAGTTTCGGACCACACAAAGGACATAAATTCTTTACGTTGAGGACTGACTGACTTCTTCTGCCTTCCTTTCTTGACCATAGATTGGCAAAGCGCTCCTGGTCATGTTGTAGAGATATTTCATTTCATGCTCTCAGAGCGGCCACGCGCATCGTCACTGTCCAGATGCTACCCAGCTCATGATCTTTCTCTCCTTTCGATATTAATAACTACTTACTATCACTATTGAAAACATCTTCTCTCAATTTCTGTAGTGGTTCTGTCATTCTGCCCCATACCATAGCACGGAATTTCCAGTCTGTGGCAATGACATTCTTGAACAGCTGGAACTCCAGGATCTTCCCAATCCTGCAAAGTAGTCACTTATGTCCTTTCTTGCCCAGGGGCGGAGCGATACCTTGCAATGTTGGCTCGTTTAACTTTTGACAGCCGAGAACTCCCGTCCTCTGTATATGTCGCCGGGACATCGGTTCAGTTGATATGTGATACTACACCGCACAATGTGAAATTGCTGGCGTTTGGGTCGCCCAGCGAAAATATTGCAGATCTATGGCCGAATGCCCAGTCTGTGGTTGCGACGACTCATTCTAATACATCTTGGCCAAGTCAAACCTCCTCTTGCCTTAATTGTATATGAAGCTCACCCTTGATCTCCGCCGTTGCCAGGTCTACTTAAATGAACGTGAAATCCGTTGCCTCAAAGCGGCAGAAGATTCTCCCTTATGCTATGGCAGTTACTCATCACGCCTCCAAGGGAGCTTCCCCGTGTTTTATTCTGTGTTTCCAAACATCCCCCCACTCTGGGGTCCCATTTACTAACAGCCTCCTCTGTTGTTACCTCTCCAATAGCCACTACTGCACCTAATCTTTTGCTGTCCTTGGCTCTGGACATCCCGACTACAACTCGCTCTGTTTCGATCTTCGTGTCCTTCCCAAAACCCCCCGTATGGAAAAGACCTCGTACAACCAAAATCCAATCCCCCCTCGTTCCGAAGTCCAAAAAATCCACATTGCTCAAATTTCTTTCCCCCTTCCTTCCTTCTTCCCCCCCCAATTTTTCCTTTCCAGTCTCTGTACCTAGTTCCCCCTCTTCTGGCTTTGCAAGTGTGGGGATTCACCCTCCCCCTCGTACTATGCCTTCCATCCCTGTCACCCCCCAAAAGTTTTTCTCCCCCTCCCGGTTTCTCCCTCTTCGCCCCCCCCCCCCCCAACTTATCTCCAGCCCCCTTACACTTTCCCTCCCCTCTTTTTGGGTTCAGTCCATTACTTTCCAAAAATCTTTATCACCCCCCTTCCATTCCCCAAATATTTCCCAACATTTTTTAATTTAAAAACACTGAACCTTTCGTTTCCCCTTTTCCTTTCTTTTAAAACATTCACCCTTTTCCCTTCTCTTCCCTCTCCCCCCCCTTCCCAACCCCCCATTCTTCGCAAGCTGTTCTTGCTGCAAAACGTTTTCCCATGCCCAGGTGATTTTTCCCCTCTAGTCCGATGTGTTTACCTTAAGTTTCCTGGTTTTTCTTCATCGAAATTTTGGTTTTAAAAGGGGAATTCCGCCCCCGGGTAATAGGGGGATTTCGTGTTTTGTTTTCCCTTTGGGGCTTACAAAAACCCCAAAATTAACTGGGCTTTTTTTCCAACCTATCTCGGCTAAATTTTTGTTTTCTTCGGATCCTTTCTCAGATGGGATCTTTAATGAAGTGCCCTTTTTAGCATGTTTCCGTACTGTCGTATTTGTCCTACCCGCTGATTACACGCAGCCCGTAACCCATTTTGAAAAAAGGGGTTTTTTACAATATTTTTTTTATCTCTTCCTTCTCGAGCTTTTCTACCCCAGACTTTGCCTTTTGTTTCATCCTTACCCCACCACTTCTGTTATTGGGTGATTTTAATGCCCCCCCTTTTCCCTTTTGGGGGGGGGGGGTTATTGTGACTCAGTGGCATCTAGTTGGAGGCTTTTCTCCCCTTTTCACCCCCTCCTGTTTTAAATAGGGTTTTACTCCCCCCCTTTTTTGTTCCTCGTACTCAACCTCTTTTGCATCGATCTATCATCTGCTTTCCTCCACTGCATAACTTCACCTGGCTGTTTACCGGATTAATGACACGATCTTTTTCCCGATCATTCTTTCTTCCCCCTTCCCTATTCACACCTTTCCATAGCCCTCGCGGGAAAATTGTCGGGCAAATTGGGATCTTTACTCACACCCACTGTTTTGTGAGGTTCCTTCACCTCCATTGGAGCTCCTACCCCTTTTCTCGAGGTATTTTTATCCCGCAGCTTCTCATTTATACCCCAAACCTCAGGCAGACATTCTAAAAGTGCGTCCCTTTGGGTTTCTCCTGCTTTGTTCGTGCGTACATTTGAAACGGCTGCATGGGGCTGTACGGTACATAGAACCGCTGAAGATTGTTGATTTTAAGCAAAGCGTGCGATCGCTCCCCTTTTACCCCGTGAAGCTAAACGCACTTGTTGGGGGAATGTTTCCCCATCCCCTCCTTCTTCTATGAGTTCGCTGGAAAAAAGTGGGGAAAAATTGAGTGGTAAAAATACTCTCTGACCCGGTTGTTCTACGGGTCACTGGTGTTGATATAGAAAACCCCTCTCGACTTTGCCATTGAACTTGGCACCATCTGGTCCGTATTTCCGAGGGCTCATCTACCCCCCTCGTTTTTTTTCCCTCAAGTCGCCGAGAGTTAGTCCCCCTTGGACTTTTCTCTCTCGGGAAGAACAGTATAAGTGCCTTTTAACTTAAAGAATGGAGGCAACGCTCTACTTGCCGATCACGGCAGGGGGCCTGATGACATTATATTGTATTTACAACTTTACATCGGTCAGCCCTTGTAGTCCTCTTTTCACCTCTTCAATCTTTTTTGGGCACAAGGGTTCTCCCCGCTGTGGAAAAATGCCTTGTTTCCCCCTTTCCGCAAACCCCCGGGATAAGGACATGAATGCCTCCCATTATCCCCATGCTTTACGTGCAGTTTGCAAAGTGATGGAAAAGCCCCGTAATCGAGTTTAAAGTGGTTTAGGGAAAATCACAAACATCCTCCGCTAGTCAATTGGTTTCGTAAGGGTCGTTTACCATAGACCCCTTTCTACCTTGGTTGTTGTTCGTAATGCCTTTGCGAAAATCCTCATTATTGCCCTATTTTTTGACCTTGGAAGGATATGACACAACTTGGGGGTATATTTTTTGGCCCAGGCCCCTTCCTTAGGCCTCCGAGGCAATCTCCCTCCCTTCCCCTTTAAAAACTTTTTAACTGACAGACATTTCCCTGTTGAGTCAATTAAGTTTTTCCCCGGACTTTGTCCAAGTGAAGGGTCCCCAGGGATGTTTCTAAGACAAAACTTTTTTTTCCCTTTCTTAAATGATTTGGCCTCTGTTCTTCCACCCAATATTTTTGGGCATCACTCATGTTTTATACTTGCTATTGCTTGTGCAGGGGCGACTG